CAATAATCTGCACCTTCTTAGCCAGAGATATGTTGGGGACCACCCCAGGGTGCTGCTGGAACGGTGGGGAGGCCATTCTGAGCTGCTGTCTGGCATGGCTAATGCGGGCACATCCCTCCCTGCCAAAGGCCAGCAGCTGTCAGAGCAAGCTGAAGAAATGGCTAACTGTGTGAGTGAGAATTCTTAAAGTGAAACACTTTCTCCCATGCAGGGTGCAGCAAGGCCTCTCATCACTTCTCCCACCCAGCATTAATTAAGCATATGGCAGGGGCAGAGATCTTGACTGTCCTGGGAGCCTTGGACTAGTTGTGGCCAGTAATCATGTGGCTCTTCTGTGCTGGCAAAGGATAAACTACACAGAAGCTCCTACATAAATCTTGGCTCTGAATGAGGATGAAAATGCTGTTTTATAGTTATCTTCAAATTTGTTGCTGAAGAGAGCAGGCAGGGTTGGGAGGATGAACACTGCAGGACTTTGAGACAGTAAGGCACTGGGGTCAGTTCCTTTCCCTGGTTGCACATTTGACCCTGCACTTGACCCATTACATGGAGTCTAGGGCCTGGCCTGGATTTGAAACTTGTTATTTTAAAGAACAGGAAGGAGGAAAAAAAAATCTGGGTTTTATGGTCGTGATTTTGGAAAGCCCTGTTTTTTTCTATGCATTTTTCCAGTGCTGACTGAGAGGAAGCTCGGTGAGCAGGTACAGACCTGGAAATCAGGCTGCTTGCTCCGCAGTGTGGCGTTGCTGCCAGTTTCCCACAAGGGCTTGCACAAACCCAGCAAGTTTGCATGTGTGTTGTTTTTTTAAAAAAAAGCAGAGAAGTAAGTTGCTTCTGTCAGGGTGGCTTCGCAAGGCCGAAAGCAAAGCACCATTTTGAGAGTGAAGGCAGTACTTTGCCTCTCACTCCTGTTCTCAGTTACTGTTTCTCACAAAAGGCAACCTGCAGTGGGGGGTGAGCAGAGTATGTGCCAGCTGTGCAGCAGCAGCACAGCTACTTTGTTGCCTGTAGCATTTTTATTTCTGTTGATGTGAGAGCTGGAAGGGATCGGGTCTGATTTTCAGGTGCTGGGCTATGTTTGCAGGTCTGCCTGTTACAAGGGCTGGGTTCATCTGCCCAGACACAATGGGCAGAGGAAATATAAGACAAATCTATAAGGCTTTTCCCTCAGCTATCCCACACAAAGATGTGGTGTTTGCAATTTATTAACTGGACATTGCTTAAAGTGCATTCTATTGAATTGTATCCTGAAAAACAAATTCCAGGTTTGGAGCTGCTGGAGCTTTGTTACTGGTCTGGCCAGAGCTATGCAAGTGCAAGGGACTAGTTTGAGAATCATCACGGATTCTCCTAAGGCAAACCTGTCTGTTGGTGTAATGTCAGTGCAACCAGATGAATCACAGCCCAAGTTTTTATCCTGAGAACTACTAGCTCAGCTTTTTTTCCCCATCAGCTCATAATTTTACAAGATGAAATCCCACTGTGTTAATATATAGTATAGAATCAATCAGTTGGTTGTTAAAACTCATTTGGAGTTGGTGATTTGGACAATTGGTTTTGGGTGAGCTGCCAGTGTATGTTTGCTGTGTTGCCATTCAATGTCAACCCACCCATTGCATTCTGTAAGAGCTTCCATTAATTTCAGTAGAAATCTGCATTTGGGGTGAAGGGTGACCTAATCTTTAGAAAGGATCTTAATCCACTTAGCCTTTCTTGCAAAGCTCAGCGTTTTTTCCTTGTCAGGAGCAGACTGCATTCCTAACCTTGATGTGTCACTTTCCAGTTGGCTTAATATTTGGGTGAGGATAAAAAGGAAATGTTGTTCAAAGATTAAAAGAACCCATGCTGCTAAGGTATGTGCACGTGTGATATGCAAGTATTAAAAAAAAGAAAATATGAGCATAATTGTGTTTGGGTGGTGGAAACAATATATAATAACATCAGCAGATGACTACGGAAAACAAGTACAGGAAGAGGTAAATCCATTTGAAACAGTGTAAATGGGAAATTATGAGGGAAGAGGAAATGGGGCTGAAATGTTGTTTAATGTAAATTTAAGTGCAAGACAAAAATAGGACTCTTGTAAGTCTGACCTGTAAATGTCTCTTCCCAGGGGCCTGAGGGCAGCTGATACAAATACAAGACCTAGTGCCCATGCCTTGGTAAGACCAGAGATCATCTTCTAGGCTACTGCATTAATTCTACTGCAGCTCAGAAATGGTGGAAAATTGTTGCCAGTAGCCTGTGTTCAGTTTTGGGGGGTTTAAGCTCAGGCTCTGGTCACAAAACAAAGAATTCCACAATTAACACTAATTGGTACCTTCCTTGATGTTTTGGTCAGGGAGAATGAACTGTTCCCTGCCTCCCTGGAGGCAGTCACTCCAGGTCAGGGGAAGAGGCCCATGGGGATGTCGCCTGGCTCACAGGACCTTCATGCCAATGGGAAATCTCTAATCAAACCCAAATCACACTTCATGAAGACGACCTGCTTTGTATGTGATGTTTCTCCTTGGGTGGCCAAATGTCTGCAAGAAGTGAACACACGCAGACGTGCCCATGTGCACACGATGAGCCTTGAAGCCATTTGCTCACATCCCTTTAATCAAAACCTCCTGCTTTTGCATTTTCTTTTCTGTTTGGTGACTGAAGCGCAGCTTCATGTGCCTTCACGTGGGAGTTAAGTGGGTCAGTGGGATGCTTTGTTCGTGGCGGCTCTCACGTGGAAAAAGTCCGATGCAAAATGCTGAGGCTTGGCAGGAAAGTGCCAATTAAAGATAGCGGTGGAGGAGCACATTGTGTGAGCTGAAAGTGCTCAAATCTGGGGCTGTGACAACTGTCATGTGCAAAGGAAAGAACGAAGAATTACTAAATTTGATGTTGATCTGAAGTACTGTTTCCCTGTTTCCAGTGTTTGTTCTCACACAGTATGGATGAGGAGTTCATTCCCTGTTACACAGGTGAGTGGTAGAAGAGATGAGTCACACAAGGAGCCTGTGCCAGAGTGGGATCAACAGCACTCAGAAGCTGGGTACCTGGGCTTCTCCTTGTGTTGGCCCATGGTATTTATCTGCCAGCAGCAGTCCAGCCTTCTCCTTAGCACTGCACAAGTCTGTTCAGATGATGCGTTCAGGGGATTTAAGTGCCAGGAGATGGCAAAGGGAGAGATGCAATGCTACATCAAGTCAAGTGAAGCTGTTCTCCCTCTCAGCCATGCAAGTAGTAAAGTTGGGACAGCATATAAAGGAAATGTGGCTTTCTAAGTCTGCGTGGTGGTGTGCTAAACTCTAGAGAAGCAATCCAGGGACAGCCAGGTTTTGATGCTGCTGTCCTCTGCCGTCATGGGCAGCTACATCATCATACTGTCATTCTTAAATAAACACATTTCTCCTTGGAGCATTCGGCCCTCAGATTCCTGAGAAGATTTTATGCAAAAGGGCCCTGAAGAAAGGGAGAGGACAGATCACTCAGCCATAGTCAGTGTTTCTGCTGAAATAGAGCCAGTCCATCCCTCTACTTCCCACTAGTTCTATTTTATTGATGGGTTTTTGTTTGAAAGAGCAATGTGGGTAATTGAATGCTAGTCTTACATTTCTTTATTTTAAAAAGCTTTCTGACTTTGATTTGCCCTTACTTAAAAGCTTTCTGTGCCCTTGCTGCAGATGTCCCTAAGTTCATCTTGTGTTTCACCCTGAAGGTGGACTTGTTTAGCACATGTATAGGCATACACCTGCTCAACAAGCAGGGAACAAAGTACTTTGCAGGTGGACTGATTAGAGAGATACATGCTGCCTCACTGGGAATAGTACCCTCTCAGGAGACAGATGTTCCTACCTTTCTGTTGCACTAGTCTGATTTGGAGATCCGCGTGGAGACAGGTAAGTAAACGGATATCTTTCAGAAATGAGAGTATAGTAAAAAGTATCCTTTTTTAGGGATGCTATGTATAAGGGTATTGCCAAATGCCTACTGTTGAGCCACTGGTAGTGAAGGCCTTTTCAAGAAGTCACATGTGATGGTAGCAGCTCCTCCAGTGGTTACTGCTGTTTCCTTCATTTAGAGAGTCCTTTCTGCACCCCAGGATAAATCCCCAAGGACTGGTTAGCAATAGCATAGTTGTTACCTAACAATAACTTTGGGAAAGCTGAATTATCCCTGCAGGTTGGATTCCATCCAGAAGCTTAGATCTGGTTGCCCTTGGGGTATCCTGATGTGCCTTCATGGTGGGTTTCCACTGAGAGCCATCACAGGCAATGGATGTGCAGATCTATCATAGGTGTGCTGGAACTAAAGCAGATGGATATCCCTGGGAAAGTCAAGGGACTGTGCAGGGTAATCAAGAACCCCATCTGAGCAGAACTGAAGAATACTGAGATTAATGTTAAGAAACCTGAAGGGCAAGAATCAGAACAATGCCTTCACCTCCTTTTTAAAAAATTTGAAGAAAGCTTTCAAACTGCAATGTATTTTGGACTTCTTTTTCCAATGAAAATGAGGCTTATGTGATCAGTCTGTCTGTCTGCTCCTATTCAGCTGTCAGGCTAGCCCCCTCCTTTTTCCTTCTCAACATTTAGGGGGGAGGAAGGAATCTCAAGTTTCATGAGAACTGGAAGAGAGAAATAATCATTGCCAGCCTCAGGGGAAGGCAGGAGGGGAGCTCAGGCATGGTATGATCCCTTTGGCAGAAGGCTGCCCTTCGACGTGCATGTGTACACAGCCGTGGATAACCATACACTGTGCTGCCTGTGTCCCCTTGGAGGGGACTGTCACAGGAAGGTAGGGCTGCTGAGAGAACAGGGCAGATTAGAGGGACAAAACCCACAGATCTGTGGGAAACTAAGCATCACTGGTGGTACTGCTCATGGAACAATTTGGTTATCTTAAATATAGGCAGAAACTGTTCTAAAAGTCTTTGCAGGGAGCCAAGGAAACAGTCACATAATAACAGGAAAAAAAAATCAAAACATTAGAGCTGATTAGGTGACAAATTTATTTCTGTGCACAGACTTTACCTGTTTTATAATAAAAATGTGAAAAAAACACATAGAAAAAGACCGTGTCCACAATCTTTTTGTTAATTGCACAGTGAGGAAGCTTTTAAGTTTTGTGCAGTTGTCCCCTAAGTCTTGCAACAAAAAAGAAAATAAAAAACATATTTTCTATGGAAGTGTTATCTAGGAGGGGAGGAAAAAATACTTAAAAACTACACCAGATGTATTTCTCAGCATTTCTTTATGAAGGTTTAGGCTGTTGGTCACTGCCAAACAGTGACTGTAAAATCACCAAAAGTAAGAATCTGTGAAGAAAGGGCAAACATACAATTATATCAGAAGGAATATTAGGAAATTTCCAAAGTAAATGCCTCTGTATTGCAATACTGAAGAGAAAGAATTCACAGCAAATGTGATACACAGTTATTGACTTCGTACTAAAATGAAATTAAATATTGCTTATCGTAATTCAGCTAACTTAGAACTATTCAGTCTTTATCTAATTTTCTTGCTCAAAATGGATTGTGATGGTATTTTGGGAACAGAGGGAACTATCTAGTGTCTGAGAGAACTTTGCCTGTAGTTGTAGCAGATCCAGCTGAAGTGGAAGGATTATTGGTCCTTTATTAATGTACCTGTGACCTCTGTCATCAGCTGCAGTTGGGAGACTGCACAGAATCATAGAATCATAGAATCAGCCGGGTTGGAAGGGACCTCTGAGATCATCAAGTCCAACCCTTGATCCAGTACTGCTGCAGTAGTGCAAAATGAGAGCAGGGAAAACAACTGGAGTCCTGGTTGCAGAACTACCAAACGAGGGAGGGAAAGCACTCGGCACAGGGACTGTGCCTCCTCTGGGTGCAGAGCGATGGTAACATGGGGACTGGGAATCCACAATAGGTGAAGCAGAGCTGTTGCATCTCTACTGTGGGTAGTGCTTAGCCAGTTAGGGCTCTCAGGAGATTAGCTACTGCCTGGGGGTGAGAACCATGGTAATTTCTAAAGCTGGTTTGTAATCACCTGCTTTCAGTTTACCCAGAGCTGGCATCCTTTTAAGCACTAATATCCCCAGCTTTCTCTTGACATCTGTGCAGCCTTTTCCAGAACTTACATGCAGCCTGTGCCGATGGCTTCGCTCAAAGCAGCAGTTTATGTGTTGCTCTCGAACCTGAGGGAGGAAAGGAACAAATTACAAAATCTAGGATTATTTGGAGAGGGCTTGCCAAAAACAAAACAATTTCTATGCCAAAATTGTGAGCCAAGGAGAAGTGCATTATTATTTCAAGAAGTTGTGAATGAAAATGAACCATTTGTTCCACATACAGCTCTCCCCTATGAACTGTTTTGATGGCTCAGACTACAGGCTTGTTAGGAACCACAATGTCACCTGGGGAGGTCAGCTGCAGAGGACGAGCACAGTGGTGGTTCAAGGGGAGATGGAGGTTCATTCCCTACAACACCACGAAAGCAGCAGTCATGAGCCCAGGAAGGAAGATCGTCAAACGTGTCTTGGCAAAGGACCTCTGCACAGGGCATTTGTTTCCCATTCTCACCTCAGTTACATAGTGGTCGCACTGCAACTCATTCCATGTAGGAGAAAGATTTAGTTGCTTTTAAATACAGCTTTTTAACTAAGGCTGTGCAAAGCAGAGACCTGTGGAGCTCCTGGAGCATCCAGAGGGTCCAGTGGAGAGCAACAAATGTGATTAAGGGACTAGAGCATCTCTCTTATGAGGAAAGGCTGAGAGTTGGGCCTCTTCAGCCTTGAGAAGTCTGAGAGGGGACCTCGTCAATGTGTATCTAAAGTGGGAGGCAGTTTCAAGAGGATGGATCGGGTTCTACTCGGGGTGCCGAGGAATAGGACAAGCGGCAACAGGGAGAAACTGATGCACAGCGAATTCCACCTAAATATGAGGAGGAACTTCTCTATCGTGTGAGTGACTGTGCACTGGTACAGATTGCCCAGAGAGGCTGTGGAGTCTCTCTTACTGGAGACATTCCAGAGCCGTCTGGATGCAATCCTGGGTGCCATGTGCTCTGGGATCACCCTGCTCGAGTAGGGAGGTTGGGCCAGATGACCCCCTGTGGTCCCTTCCAACCCGCCGCATTCGGTGATTCTGTGGAACAGTTTCCCTCACGGGGGATCACTAGAGGATGGCAGTGCCCTGGTACGCAGCCGCGCGGCAGCGCTGAGCCCTCACGCTATCGCCAATTCTTTGCAAAGCATTTGAGCTTCTCGGCGGTCGGACCCAGGAGCCAGGGGCACGGCACTGCCTGGGGCCGCCCTCGGGGGCCGGGGGAGGAGCTCTGGCACTCCCGGGAACACACGTCCCCGCGCCCCTCGGTCCCGGCGCTGCCGCCGGGCGGTATCTCCATGGCGACCGGGCGCGCGCGGTAACGGCCCACCCCCGCGCATGCGCAGGGCGGGCGCTGACCTCACCGCGGCACCGGGGCCCGCAGGGCGGCGCCGCGCCGGCGCGCGGGGCGGGGCGGGGCGGGCGCGGGCGGCGCGTGCGCGGTGGGCCCCCTATTCTTCCCGTGGCGAACGGGGCGCGCGCGCGGCCATGGAGCGGAGCGGGCGCCGCCGCCGCCGGCTCTGAGCGGAGGGAGCGACAACGGGAGCGACGGACGGCGACAGCGGGACAGCCTCCGCCCGGCCCGCGCCCCGCAGGTACCGCCCGCGCCCGCGTCGCGCCGGCCCGCTGGGGGAAGCGCGGCCGCGGGCGCTTTGTGTGCGGTGCCGCCGCCGGGTGACCGCGGGATGCGCGGGGCGGGGCCGGCCCGCCCGCGGCACCGTGCGGGAGCAGCGCGGGGCCGGCTCTCCCGGCGAGGGCAGGGCAGGGCGGTCCGGCGGGACCGGCGGTGCGGGGGCTGCCGGGCCCTGCGCGGGGCCGCCCCTCGGCCCCCCCGCCCCGGGGTCGCCCAGCACCGGCAGGGCCGGGGGTCTCCGGGGAGGGTCCCTCGGGAACAGACAGCTGGGCGAGGGGAGGGAGGCGCGGCCGTGCTGATCTCGCCGAGCGGCGCCGGGCTTTGCCGACGCTTGGGGCTGCTGTGCCTCCAGCAGCATCCTGTGGGTTGGGTGGGCTCGGCCCTGGAGCTTGGCCCCTTTGTGCACGTGCCGTGCTCTGCTTCGTTCATTTCTGGGAGCGATTTTAATGGGAGTTGGGCGAGGACTGTGAGTTTGTGCGTGTGCGAAGAGGTGGCTTCATCGTTAGGCAGATCCTGCAGAAACGCTTCAGAGAGCTACTCGGTCTGAGTAAATACAATGTTATGCATGTTGCAGGCCTGTGTGGGCTCTGATTAAGGTATTTTTAATGTTATATATCTAAAGATATCTGTGAGGAAGGGGAAGGCTGGTCCCTTCCCCAACCCCCTGCACAGCCGCTTGAGAAGGGTGTGGGAAACTGAGGTAGGATGACAAGCTCGAGGTTGTATGGGAAACCTGTGCTGGAGTAGCACAGAGGCTTCCCAGATGCGAGGGTTGTTCTGAGCACTGGATTCTCCATAAGTCTTGTGGACTTATTTCATAAGTCAATGTTTAGTAGAGGAGACAAGGGTTGAGTAAAGAAGTATGTGCCAAGCCAGTGTTGATAAAGCAGGGATGTGGTCTCCAGCCCAGTACTTGTGCCAGCATCAGAGGCAAATTTGTCATAGCCCAATTTGCTGCTGAACACTGCAGCTCGTTTCTCTGCATCTTTTGAGCAGTTGTATCTCTGTCGTATGCTCCTCTTGGTGCCACCTGGGTGCTGTTGAAGACAAACCAAACTATTTTCGCTTGATACCTGGAGACACAGATCCACCATTTAGCTCAGCAGTGCTCAGGTTAGTTCTTGGGAAGGTGTTGGAAGTGCAGGTGTTTGCTTCTGTCTGGGATTCTGAATCGGATTTAAGAGGTTTGCAGCTGTAGAGGGGATATGTTTGAGAACTCACAATAGAGGTGAGCTTTCTCTAGATCAAAGGACTACACTTAAGTGCAGGATAGAACTGCAGTACTGTCATATTCAGGGTCTCCCTTATGGCAACATTGCTCACTGTGTGGAACAAGCCTTTGTTTTGCGGTCCTGGGCTTGGCAAAGTCCAGCCTTTGCTTGTTTTCTCTACTGAACCCTGTCAGTGGGACTGAAGCCTGGAAGTTACAAGAGGGACAGAGGAAGGACATGTCACCATGGGTGATCCTCTCTGTGTTTCTTAATTTTTAATTATTGCTATTTTTTTTTTTAAATTGCTGCCAACATAGCTTTGTTGTTTTTTCTTGCACTGATGCCTGCAACATTCCTGTGAAGTTCTTAGAATTGATCAAACAGCTTCAAAAGTTTCTGTTTCAAGAAGAAAAATGCAATGAAGTTATACACTTTGGCCTTGCTTCACTTGGCTGATAACATGAAGTGTTAAAAGTGAGAGAGCAGCATGCTTGGGAGATGGACATGTTTCTCTAGTTCACGTGACATTCCCTAGAAGGACAATTGCAGAGAATGCCTATGAGAGAATGAGCTGGTCCTCCAGTCATCTTTGAAGTTCTGTAGGAATGTTAAATTTATGCTACAACTTAAGTGTTAAGAAAATTGTATATTTAAACAGCAAAACTCAAACGATTTATCTGTTTCTCTTATGTGTTAGTCAGTCTTTCTCTGTCCGTTGTGCAGTTTGTTCAGGGCTGTTGGTTATTAAAAGATGAGAGCTGACAGCAAGTCTGGACACTTGTGTAATGATTTACAACATTACAGTGGAGGATGAGGACAAGATCTCCTCAACAACCTTTGTGTCGAGGCAGGTCAGAAGAAGTTTCAAGAGGCTGGACGTGAAATGTTCAGATGGATAAAGTAGTGACTTTCCCCGCATGTACCTTTCCACTTCAGTGTTCCTGCAGGTTTTTGTGAGAGGTGGCTTTGAAGTGTGTGGACTGCCATTACAGGTCCCTTCTGGCCTCAGATGACTTTGGATCAGGCTCATGTGTCACCCTGAGCCTCTCATTATCTCGGGCCTTGCCTAGACTAGGGATGGAAATGTTGTTGGTGTGCCTCTGGATCGGGCTTGCTGCTGTTAACGCCTCCTTGGCTGGCAGTTGTGAGTGAAGCTTCCTCCTGGATTCTGACAGTGCCAGCGCACCTTCCAGCAGCCTTTGCCAGTGCATAAGAGAAAATGCTGGCAAGTGTATAAAGGTCCCTCACCTGAGTGAATAAAATAGACTGTTCTTGTCTATTAGTTTCTTCAGACTGTGACTTTAGTAAATTATAAGCAGTCTGACTGAGGGAAGGTGTTTGCTTCTTTCCTTGATAAAGGGTTGGTGTTGTGTCAGTGTTGTGCAGAACAGCATTAACTTTACTCCACTGTTTAATGGCATCCATTTCATGTTGCTCTTTGCTCAGTTGCTTCATTTTCATCACCCTGCACAGTGTTGAAGTTTGCATTATGTGTTTCATTCAGGCTCACTCAGTGCTTTGGATATTGTCCATTGGACCAACCTGTTACCAGTTCTCAAAGCTGTCTGAAAGCCTGATGTGAGCTAGTTATGAGCTTTGCACTGTGGGATACTGAGGAGCTAAACAAATACACGTTCTTTGGCATTCTGCACTGCACTGGTGTCTGGCTCTGTCACACACGTGAGAGCTCACTTTCTCCTCTCTTTGGCAGCACTAGCATTCTTACACCAAAACCCCAAATAAACTGCATGGAGCTGTAACTGTTAAACTTACAGGAGGGCAACAAATGGATTTTGTGGTCTGAGAGGCTGCCGGTGCTCCCCAAGAGATTTAATCTCAGCTCATGTGTTGGAGTTCATCTGGTTTCCTGTTCTGTTCCTTAACCAAATCTCTGCATGTCTGGCTCTGCAAGGAGGGAGATGTCCATTCTGCATCTAAAAACAAGGATGCCAAATAGGAGCCGCGAAATTAATTGTTAGAAGAGCATCATCATCATTAGTTTATTGGAAGTGAGTGGGCAGATTTAAAATCCTCTAATTTGTTTCCACCACCAGCGAGTTAATAGACTAAACAGCCTAACCAGGCCAGTCCCTGGTGCAGTTTCTCTACTTCAGGTTTAAGCTATGGCCCTTTATTTTCACTTTGATTGTAGATGCTTTAGGTTCCAAGGTATTTCAGAAAGCCAAATTGAACCAATAATGATTTGAGGCAAAGTTCTGATCAAAACAGGGTCAGATTCTGACCTATGTTTCAAAGTGATGCTGAGCAGAAGGGAGGAATTGCAGGTGTGTGTCTCTGCCTTTTACGTGCAGGTGATTTTATTGCCCAGAAGTCTCTTCACTGCCACTAGAGGTTCAGCCCAATTCATGATATTGTCAAACAAAAACCGCTTCTGCTCCTCCTTGTCCTGTGCTCCCTCCACCCGTTTTATAAATCTGGAAGTGCTGTTGTGGCTTTCTGCACTCCCTTTGCAGCTTGTGTTGAGGGATTTCTTTGGCCGTCCACTTACGTGTGGTTGTAAATGCCAGGCTGAATAGAATCTGCTTCTGCCTGAGTGTAGAGAGTAACCCTCCTTCCCCTCCCTGGAGCTGAACTGGTTCTGGGTTCTGTTTTCTGCTGGCCCCTGTCAGCAGTTGAAATCCTGCTGCTGCTGCTGAGAGTTCTCCTCTCCTTGCCCAAGAGTTTCCATGGCAGCCCTGCAGAACAGGGGTAGGCAAAGACCCCTGTTTTGCCATGCAAACAAATTTGAGTCATGGAAGAGAGATGGGCATTAGCTGGGAAGCCTGAAGAGAGACAAAGAAAATAAACTTTTTCCAAAACTGTTGACTTGCAAACTGCTGCTGTTGCGTCCCACAGCCAGTGTCCCTTGAGGGCTTGCACCCAGGGTATGATCTTGTGTGTTATTTTGCCATTCCAACCTGTCATTTTACTGTTAGCACTTGTCTCTCAAGTACTTCCTTCTGGGGTAGTTCTGGCTTGGACTTGTATGTGAAAACTTACTTCTGTGTCACCAGGCAGTTATATAGGGAAAACAAGGTCCTGGAGGATTGGAGTAGAGAATTTATATTGAACTCACTGCTCTCTTTAAAATTCAGTTATCCTGATCTTTACCAGCATGTGGTGGTATTATTTCCCCAAGGTGTTATCTCACCCTCAGTTCCCACTGGAGACTTGCAGTGGCTCTGGAGAAGGTGCTGAATTTCTACCCTATTCCTGCCTGTAAAATAGGAGCTTCTTGGTATTCTACCACTTTTCTCTTCAACTGATGTACAGGAAGAGATGCTTTCTATCTCAGGACTGGCTAAATTAGTGATCTTAGCCTAAGGAACTTCATTGCTTGCAGTGCAAACAGAGATTAGAAGATTCAGATGTGAGCTGTGAAGCTCCTTGTTCTGCTGGCAGACTTGCAAGTGATGGGTCACTCTGCTCTAGTTCTCAGTAGTGTTCTACTTCCAAACCTTGGTAAGCATTTTACCCACAGGAGGTTACAAGTGAAAGTCTCTTCCTTCCCTTCCCATATTTTCCCAGATGAGCCAGTATGGCTGCTGGATTGTGGAGGAGAGGATTAGGATGTCACTCTGGAAAATTTTGTCCTGCACTCCTAGTTGCAGTAAAAGGGGGGCTGGATGCCTTTTCCATTCTTGTGGAATGCATCACTACAGCCCCTCAGGGAACCTTGTGCGCTCTTGGCTCGGACACCTTGCAGAGCCGAGCTGGAAGTCGGAAGCTGTAGAGGGCCAGTGCTGTGTAA